GTAACAAAATCCTGAATAGCCCTATAGTTAAAACTTGTCAATATGCATACTTATCAGGAATGGAGAAGAAAAGGTATGATCAAAACTAAATATCGTTCCCGTGGTTTTGTTCCCAAGAACGCATCAAAACCAAAACTAAAATGAGAACGAAACTTTCGAGGGCGTTCCTAAAGAGAACGAATTGCGAACAATACTTTCGGTACCATCTCTAAAAAAAACGAAACGGCGCTAATCGCTTTTGTGGTAAATTGTTCACCAGAACGAGTCAGAAGTCATTGGGCAAATTGGGAGGTAGAAAAGGTACGTAAAAACGTGATTTACCTTTGTTAGAGTCGACGCGCTGGTTTTTATATATGTACATATGTTTTACTGAATACTGCGAAAAATCAATATTTAATATTGCCAGACACTTTCCGTTGACGGTAGCACTCGCCAGACAAGTTAAAGTTCACGCTATCTATGTATAGCTTTTATTTTTCTATTAAGTTTCACCAAACGCGTGCACACACGGCGTATGAGTATCATACATAATTTCTAGCTCATACTTCATACAAAATAATAAACGAATAATTGAAATGAATTTATCCGCTAGTGAATTATTACGAACTCAGCTGCCATCAGAAAGTGTCTGGCAATACTGAATCTTGATTTTTTAACAATATTCAGTAAAACATATATCTACATACTTTATGACGTACCTTTCCTAAATGCTACCTGTTAACTGTCCACTGGCCGCCTATCCAAGCAAGCAGATACACGTACATTTTTAAATACATATTTAGTGCGTTCCAGAATGTCTACGATTGGCAGCTTTTGCAGGATTTAATCCAAAGTCGTTCCCGTACAACACGTTCACATAAGGTTTATTAAAGGCGAAAACAGCTGTTCCTGTAAATCCTGCAAATCGTGATGTACGGGAACAGGCTAATGTATTTAACTATTTATTCCTTAAACTTTGTTACTTTGATCTTTGCTTTCTAAATTTTAGGTATATGAAAAATGGTTGCCATAAACATATTACAACCACAAAATATTGCTTTAGCTTTTGCTGGAATATGAGTGATCTGTGAGGGCCGTATTCTCAAGTAGGTTTTAAAATTTATCTTCAGATTTTGTTCTGAAAAAATATACTTGAAGAGCAGATACATTTAGAACCTACTTGAGAAAGCGATGCTAAGGTAAGCACACTCGGACATAATTTTTTCCGATCGACTAGTGAATGAAGTACTACAATGATTTTCTGTAAACGATACTGTATAAGACAATCGATTGTAGGACCACATACATACATATGTATGCAATTTTTCGTTGTTTTCGAAATAAATTCTCTTTTTAATGTAAAAAATTTGTTTACTTGACCTAAGTAGATTGTGTATTTGAGAAGGTAGTAGCTAATAAATATTTACGAAGTTCAAAACTATAAGAACAACATAAACACAATATTTCAAAACTAAATTATATGAAAATGTAAACTTCATCTTTCCAACTTGTCACCTATTTATAAGTGTTTACCACTTGTTACTGAGTACTTATCTTACGTTATAATGTTTTATGATCCATTAAATTTGTTTGATATCTATACTTTCTTTTCCCTATATCCTACTACGCGCGTGTCACCGTCATCACCGCTGTCTGCATTTTCACGTCTCTAAATCATCGCTGATCAAATGAGAATTCAGTTTGCGCATGCGCATTGGAACGCGCATGCTGACAGCAGTGCGCATGAATATGTGTTGTTTGGGTTTGCATTTTACCAGCCTCAGCGTAATCCTCACTCGAATCGTTCGTTGTCGTTTGTTCATATTCATACATATTACTACTACTACTATATACACTTTGACTGCCATATTGCGTGGTAGATTGTGAGGGTAGCTCAAAGTGTACCGTGGGTTGTGGTGACAGTTCGTAAATAGTCTCAGGTTCTACAGTAAATGTTAAACCACAGGAACAATGCTCCAACAAGGCTGCCGGTGGCGCTGTTTCGTTTTGCGCCAATGGCATTGAAAGCGGCAGCAATGGTGGTAGCGGTGGCGGTGTAACCAACGAGGATAAGGATGAGGACGCATGGACCACTGCCTGTTCGGTTATGGTAGCCACCGCACTGGGCGGTGGTGATGGTGAGGAGAGGCATTCATGGCAATAATGTGTGCTATGGTAATGATTGTAGCGACGATTTAGTGTATACGATGAATGCAGTTGAGATGCGTTTGATGGTAATGATAATGAAGTGGTTGTCGAATTTGTGGTAGGTAGGCGTAATGTTTGGCCGGGTGAGAACGCAACATGTGACGCATGCGAGCGAAGTAAAGGTGGAGGTGGTGGTGGTGTTGGTGAGGGCGTTTGTGTGGTTGATGAAGTCTCAGTTTCAGTTTCGGTCGTTGTGGCCGATGGGAGCGGTAGAGGTGCTGCTGGGCGAAGCAGCGGTTGATGGCAGCGACATATTGCAACTCAAAAAGTGCCGCCATCATTGTGAGATTCACTGGCGCTAGCGTTGTCGCCACTGGCGGCGTCACTCTTCTTAGGTGTTATATAGTTATCACTAGCACCAATACCGTTCTGTTGGTGACTTTGACTGTGATTGTGAGTTGAATGTTGTGATAAATGATTTGGGTGATTCAGTGCATGAGAATGATTTGATGCAGTATGATTTTGATTTTGAATTGTGTTTNTTGTCGCCACTGGCGGCGTCACTCTTCTTAGGTGTTATATAGTTATCACTGGCACCAAGACCGTTCTGTTGGTGACTTTGACTGTGATTGTGAGTTGAATGTTGTGATAAATGATTTGGTTGATTCAGTGCATGAGAATGATTTGATGCAGTATGATTTTGATTTTGAATTGTGTTGGGATTTGTTGAATGCTGCTCTTCAAGTGAAGAAGAGTCCGCGGTTGCGATAATATTCAATGACTTGGGAGGTATGGGAGGTGGCGGCGGCATTGGCAGATCGTCCATATCGAATGAGCTGGCCGAGTTTTCACGATGATTTATATTGAGCGTAGTGTTGATGGTGTAGGCGCTGTCCATGCTTCCATTCGATATCAAGCGGCAGTGGTCGCGATGATGCACCGTGCTCACTGAATTGGATGAAGACTCTTCACTGAGATTATTCAAATTATTAAGATCGTGCGAACTTGTTGTTGAGATGCCTGAATCTCGAAAATCATTTGGTCCATACCCGATCACATTAAGCTGCGCCGTCTCACCTACACTTGTTAGAGAGTGGGGAGCTTGATCCGCTTCAGGGTCGTCGAAGCTGATATCTACCACTGAATACTTCTGACCATGCTCATGCTGTTGTTGTTGCTGGTGATGGGCAGACAAAGGGCGCCGTGGCATTGAGCCAGCTGAGGGATACTGACTACTGCTGAAATCATTTATGGCACTAGGATTTGAAGCGCGCTTGTCGGGCGTTATGCCACGCGGCGGTAGTGGAGGTGCGCTGGGTGAACCCACTTGATTGGCATTACGCTTAGGTGGCACTTCTGGGCCATCCATGGCAGGCATGAAATTCTGCGAACGCGGACGATTCGGTACAGGTGGTACTTTATCACGCGTGATTTCCGGTATACTCATGCTCTCATTGCTTAGCGTTTGGTATGAGTTGTGTATCAGCAATGAATGGCCAGATTCGACTGGACGTAACGTGTCGCCCGGCCTNACTCATGCTCTCATTGCTTAGCGTTTGGTATGAGTTATGTATCAGCAATGAATGGCCAGATTCGACTGGCCGTAACGTGTCGCCCGGGCGCGTGTATATATCATCTTGCTCATAGACTCCATAATAATTTGACGAGCCAGTATTTAAGCTGGGATTCCCCAGGCTCATTGTGCGTTTTTCGGTTGGCAGTGGTGGCAAGGGTGTATTAACTATGCTCTCCGAATGTTGGCGCTTCAGCCGGCCCAGACCTGATAAACTTTGTTTTAACTGCGAGAAGCGTTCAAGTAAACGATTATGTAGTGGCTGTACGTTGGGTGGCGCCAATGTGCCGTGTAGTTCCAAAGCCTGCTCGAGTACTTGTATTTGCTCTAATATGAGAGCCTTTAATTTTTGCACATTTGTTTGTTGGCCATGACCTTGTGGCGACTTCAGGAATTGTTCCGAGAAAAATGCCTCTTGATATTTGCTTATACCACCCATGACATTTGCATCGATTATGCCTTGTAAGCGCATCGAAAAAGGATTTATATTACGTTTTGGTTCAGTACGATACTGTACAATGAGATCCCATAATTCTTTGCCGACATTATTCATTGTCTCGCATGCAAACTCTACTGGGGTAATTTCATGTACTGACTTATGTTTTACTTCGAACCAGCGCAAAATACCGGGCAGTTGATTGGATATTTCCAATTTGGTGCGTTCGATCCACAGCGATTTAAATTCGTTGTCCTTATCGATAGGACCTTTATAGATGGGGCGATCGTAGATGAAGCGTGTCACATCGTTGACCTTTAAGAAAAGGTTAAAAATTTGGCGTATACAAAATCTACGTGTAAGGTTATCGATTTTTAATTTTTTTCGAAGGAATAAAACTACTGAACAAAGTCAAAAAGGAGTTGTTAATAAATCCAAGTTTATATATATGTACCAAAGGGTGGTCCAAAAATATATGTATGTGAGAAAAGTAACGTCGAAAAAATATACCCGTTTTTTTTTTAATAAAAAATTATTTAGAGGTCACGAGAAGCTGAAAAATAATACCAAATTGTTTATTTAAACATTTGTTATTAGCGTTGTTGAGGAACCCATAAAATATAGTTGGGTATTATATAATTGGGTATTATTTCTTGAAGTCGCCTGAAGAGATATTGCTGACTGATATAGATTTTCAAGGATTATTTATATACCATTTCTATGAAAAATGGTTTTTCCCCATATAAACTACATGGGTAGCTTTGAGCGCTTTAAGCGACGTCCAAATATTCTTTGATTTAAACATAAAACAGGATTTTTTTTTCGATATAGACGATCCTAGGGGTGAGAGCAATAAAATTCAGACTTTACGTGAACTAAAAGTTCTTCACATTCATTCCCGTTTTTACTCACCTCATAGAATCTAGCAATTTTCTCCGGTACTGGCACCATTGCCGTCTTTAAGGCCTGCGCATCGCCAACTGGTCGTACATTACTAATTTGTATGTATTGTTCTGCTGCAGTGAGAATCGAGTTATCTGGTGGACTATTGTTGGTTAAAATCTGTGCCGCGGGAAATTCGG